GACCCGCCCTTTTCTGTGGTGATGCCGCGGCTGTCGGGGGTTGCAAACACACACCAGCACCGAGTCTTGCCAGGCGAATCCTGGGCCCAGAATTGTGAGCCGCAGCCGTCGGTGCGTTTCCCCGGCCGGGGTCCATCCCCAGATACAGGACCTCTCGACCCAGGGTTGGTGTGCACGCCTTCCTGGCCAAGCCAGGAGGACGTATGGACCGCTCCTGGGCCCAGGATGGGCCCAGCCAGGGTCGGTGTTGGTGTGTACTTGTTGTCCTCCCAGAGTCTGCCGCCCCTTGCGGGGAGAGTTCAACGTAAGCCAGGGCTTCGGAAAGCACCACCCTCCCGTAGCACCCCATCCCTCCGGATCCTTCGGCACGAGCGGCCTCAGGACAATAATCCTGGCCAGAAATTGTTTCATACTCGATTCCTTTCCCGCGCTCCGCGCCATTGGCACGGTTCTGGATAGAGACTCCGCACCCAGATCCAGATTGTGACTATCACATTCATTGTCTCTACCCCCGACCGTTCACGCTGGAAGCATACACCTGGAGGTGGATTCGGAGACGGTTCTGGCTCTAGATCTGGTCAGGATTACCCCAATCTTTCATCCTCAGCCCTGGCCATTCTCACTGGAAGCACACACGTTGAGTCGGATTTTGGGCACGGTCCCTGATAGGAGCTTCAGATGAGGATCTGCATTAGACAATCTCCAGGAGGAGAGAGGGGATATGTTGGAGATGGGGGAGGAGGGAAACGGGGACGAGGATAGGGGCGGAGTAGGACAACGGCGACGATGATGATGACGATCAGTATGATGATGTTGTTCTTGATGATGATGGTGGTGGTGGTGGTGATGATGCTGATGATGATGGTGGTGGTGGTGTTGTTGGTAGTGGCGGTGATGATGATGATGATGATGATGATGACCTGAAGAAGGATGAGGAGGATGAGGAGGATGAGGAAGAGGAAGATATATAAAGAGAGTAGGAGGATGAGGAGGAGGAGGGCAGAAGGATGAGGAGGAGGAGTCAGGAGTTGGGCGGGGAGGATGATGACGCAGGATGATGATGACCTAGGATGATGATGACGATGATGATGGTGGTGGTGGTGGTGGCGGCTGTGGTGCTGATGATGACGATGCTGCTGATGATGATGATTATGATGACGATGACGATGACGATGATGATGACGACGATGATGATGATGCTGATTCTTATGCTGATGATGATGCCGGTGATGATCACGATGATCATGATGACGATGACGCTGATGGCGGTGATGATGAAGATTATGACGACAGCGATGCTGATAGTGATGATGGATACTTTTGGCGATGATGATGATGATGATGATGATGACGGCGACGACGATAACGACGATGATGATGATGATGACGACGATGATGATGATGATTATGACGATGATGATGACGATGACGATGACGATTAGGATGATGATGACGATGACGATGACGATGATGATGATGATGATGATGATGATGACGATGATGATGATGATGATGATGATGGTGATGATGATAATGAGGATGATGATGACGACGATGACGATGACGACGACGATGATGACGATGCTGATGATGATGCTGCTGATTCTTATGCTGATGATGGTGATGATGCCGATGATGCTGCTGCTGATGATGACGATGTTGATCATGATGACGATGACGCTGATGGTGGTGATGATGACGATGATGACGACAGCGATGATGATGGTGATGATGATGATGCTTTCGGCGATAATGATGATGTTGACGGCGATGCCGATAACGACGATGATGATGATGATTGTGATGATGATGATGATGATGATGATGATGATGATGATGATGATGATGATGATGATGATGATGATGATGACGATTACGATTACGATTAGGATGATGATGACGATGACGATGACGATGACGATGACGATGACTATGATGACTATGATGATGATGATGATGATGATGATGATGATGATGATGATGATGATGAGGATGAGGATGAGGATGAGGATGAGGATGAGGATGAGGATGGTGATGAGGATGATGATGATGATGATGATGATGATGATGATGATGATGATACTGAGGATGATGATGACGACGATGACGATGACGATGATGACGATGCTGCTGATGATGATGATGATGATGATGATGATGCTACTGATTCTTATGCTGATGATGATGGTGATGATGATGCCGATGATGCTGCTGCTGCTGATCATGATGACGATGACGCTGATGGTGGTGATGATGACGATGATGACGACAGCGATGATGAGGTTGATGATGATTGTGATGATGATGAGGCTGATGACGATGCTGGTGATGATGATGATGACGGCGACGACGAGAATTATGATGCTGATTATTATGATGATGACACTGACGGCAATCATGCTCATGATGATGATAATCCTGACGATGACGATGACGATGATGCTGATAATGATGATGCTGATGATGATGATGATGATGGTTCTAATGAGAATGATGATGA